GCGTGTCGTAGCGGACCTGTGGCTCCGCGCGCGCGTGCGTAGTGGGTGGTGGTGCACGTGCGTGCGTGCGTGCGTGTGTGCGTGGTTGTGGTGGTGGTGGTGGTGGTGGTGGTGGTGGTGGTGGTGGTGGTGGTGCTGGTGCTCGTGCTGGTGGTGGTGCTGGTGCTGGTGGTGGTTGTGATGGTGGTGGTGGTGGTGGTGGTGGTGGTGGTGGTGGTGGTGGTGGTGGTGCGGCGCGGTGGTGGCGGGCGGATGGGCGCGCGAGAAAGAGGCCCGCGCTGGGGCGAGAACGCCATCCTGAACGACGGAGGCGAAACACCGATCCGAAAATGAGGCCCACGCTGCAGCGGGATCACGATTCGGAACGATTCGGGAGCAGAAATGAGGCCGGCGCCTCAGCGAGAGCATCATTTTGAAAAAAACCCGTTTCCCGAGAATCCTGTGTGTTAAAAAATAGTACGCGGGGGGCGTTCGGCCCGAAAATGGTGCCGGCGCCTCAGCGAGAGTCGTTTCCCGGGATTTTCCGGGAATCCTGTGTGTAAAAAATCAGTACGCGGAGGGTGCGCGGCCATCACCTGGACGCCATCAGGGGAAGAGGGAGAGTATTTTCACATTGAGAAATTGTACAGGAGAGCTGGAGGGGGGGACAGGAGAGGGGAGGGGGGGACAGGAGAGAGGGGGGGGGGAGAGGGGGAGGGTGGACAGGAGAGAGGGGGGGGGGCAGGAGAGAGGGGGGGGGAGGGGGGGAAAGGAGAGAGGGGGAGCGGGGGACAAGAGAGAAGGGGTGGGGGACAGGAGAGAGGAGATGGGGAGGGGGGGGGGCCGGGATCATCACCATCTCCATCACCATCACCAACACCATCGTCACATCACCATCATTATCATCATCATCATCATCATCATCATCATCATCATCATCATAATCATCATCGTCATCGTCATCATCATCATCATCATCATCATCATCATCACCATCATCACCATCGTCACCATCGTCATCGTCATCGTCATCATCATCATCATCATCATCATCATCATCATCATCATCATCATCATCATCATCATCATCATCATCATCCAGAGCGCCCCGGATCGGCGGCACTGGCCAGAGGCCACTACAATACAAGCTAACGATTGCGACACGAACCCCCCTTGTATCACAAAAGCAACGGTTCGCCAGTGGGGCAACACCGTGAAGGACAGCGACAGGTAACGCGGCAAGTTGGCCGAGAGCAAGCCAGATGCAGGCTAGCATCATGCTTCGTGCAAGCAAGAGGCAAACTACGCACAAGCACAGGTCGAGCCAAGCCAACATGCAGCCAGAGGCAAACTCAAGGCGAGCCAAAACCACGCCAGGGGCAATTCGCGTACGAAGCCAAAGGCAGGTCAAACAGCCAGCTGCAAACCAGGGCAGAGGAACACAACATGCAAGGACAAAGGAAGCGGACCTTCGACATACAAGACGGAACCAACACATTCAAATTGATGTCAAAAGGGTCTCCGAGAACGGGGGTGGTATTCGAACTGGTATTGTTTGTCTGTGCTCTGTTGGGCCGTGGTCACGCTCCGAAGTTGCACCGAGAATCTGGCACATGTATGATACATCCCATTTACCACTCCCCATGAAGACTTCGACTGCGCGGCTCGCACGTCTTGTGCCCCCCTGCTTGTCCAAACCCTCCCCACGATCTCCGTGCCCACCCCCTGAATCTCAGAAGGACAGTGGGCAAGCGATCGGGCATACCATCTCGACGTCAGCCCTGTGCCGCTCCCGGCGTCCATATATGGTCGAAGTCGGCGCGTTGACCCCCAGAACGCCCACCTGGAAGCGGCCGAAATTTCGGAGAACGCCCACACGGATGCTGCCTCTAGACTCGTGGATGCCATGACAATGAACACTCGAATCATTGAGTCCACTGGGGCAGGGATCCCGGAAGCGGCGGGATGCCGGAGCCCCTGGGCGGCGGGCCTCATGACAGCGTCGGGGGGACGAGCAAGACAACCCTCCTCGAAACCAAAACGTAAGTTTCTGATGTTCGGTCGGGCTGTCCCCCTACAGGGGGCCGTTGGGCGAAACATGTTTTAAAAATACCCCCAACAAATATTCCGAAAATGCTCAAACATAGTCCAAAAATAGTCCCAATACAATTTTCAAACTATTTTTGAAATTTCCCTCCTGTAGAGGGACAGGCCCGACTTAATTCTAATGTTGGCCGACGCGCGAATGTCGGATGGACGAATCATACAACCCGCCTCGAACTCGAACGCAAGTTTTGAATGCTCGTCGACGCGCGGAACGCGGCTCCACGGGGTCAGATTTGTTATAGAGTTGCCGTTGCCAGTTTTTACCGCGAACACTGCAATTTCAGGGGGCCAGGGCGCCGTCACGCCGTGGGACAAACTTGCGCGTCATTGTGGTTGAGGGGGGATGTCGAACCAGTGCGCTTGTGATCTGACGCTGGAGATCCGCATGCAAGAAGCCATTATGAACGATGAAATCCGATGCCGATTACTCAATCGCACAAGCCAGCGCTCCGTCAACACTCCAGACAGAGCCCCCTTTAGCAAGACACCCTTTCCGTGAAGAAGAGGCCCAGGGCCGGACCCAGCCTTGGGCCAAGCAGCGGGCTCAGGCCCACAAAGGATGGGGCCGCCACGACCGCGCGAGAACCGACCGAAGCCAACTCGACAAACGGCTTGGCAGGGTGGGGGTTCTCTATCGGCCTCGGCTTCACGCCAGAGTGACCCGGGGTCATCGCTTAACCACAGCGCCAGCCCACACGGCGACCATACATCGGGCGCAAGCCCGTAGAACCGAGAGGGCCAAACACTGTGGGCCCCGTCGGCCTGCTCCTCGGCATCGGTATCGCGGCGTTTTGGGGGTAAGAATGACCATTGGCGCGCGGCTTTTTGGGGGGGCCGTGGGGGGGCCAAATCCAGGCGCGCAAGCCGCTGCTACCGCTTTGCGTTCAGCCATCTGGGGAGCCATCTGTGCCCGCACCAAAGGTCAGCCCGGAGAATGGTCATTCTTACCTCTAGCCGACAACCTCTGACGCCTATGCTCCTGGCCGGCCCCTCCTGCCAACCCTAGTAAGGTCACGGCGAGTTCACATCGTGATGGTGCCGGCGCTGGTTTATGTCACCACGTGGATATAGGCTGCGCGCACAAGAGGGCAGGGGGAGGGGGGAAGGCTTCTTGAAAGGAGGCCGCTTCTGAAAAGGCGCCAGCCCTACACCTACAGACAAGGCCCGCGCCTTCTGAGAAGCACGGGTACGTTTAAGGAGCCTTCCCCCCTCCCACTACCCCCTCTACGCGTGGCCGAAGATCGTCAATCCCGAAACGATCGAGGCTGTCCGACAGCGCCGATCGTTCGATGTGGACCGATGCTGGGCAGCTGGCGGCGTTCGCGCCAAGCTGGGGTGGCCGCTGCGTGTCCGCGCGGATCGGACTTCCCACATGGACACAAGGAGCCACGGCCTCCGGCGTTGTGATGTTCCGCCCCCCCAAGAAATTGGGCGTCGCTTAGACTGGGGGGGCGATGAAATGGGCGGGGGCGAGAAAGGTCACCTCTCGGGCCCTGCAAGCCTCCCTTTGGCTCCGAGAGGGCCCCTGTTCTGCAACCCTCACTGCCACTGCCCCGCCACGTACCGCACCCCCACTGCGCGACGCCTAACAGAAAAATCTGGAGCCCGACTCTGGGACTTGCACCTCGTCCGGAATAGTTCGGTCCCGAGCCCACGTGGCCAGATCCAGTCGGGGGAAACGTAAGGGGAGGATAGCAGAGGGTGTAGAGAATCAGCTCACGTAGCTGATTTTCCCAGCGCCTCCGGGCGCCGGGAATGGGCCCGGCGGCGGGGCCGAAACTGGCTGCATGCAGCAGATTTCGTACCCCCCCTTTCCCTATCCCCCCCTTTCGTTCGGCCCGATCCAGGAGCCATGAACCGAAACATGTTGTCATCTCTTGGAAAGGCAACTTTCGCTTCTGTTGGCTTCCGTCGGTCGTCGCTGGCTTCCGAGGGCGGAGCCGCCCTCGTTCTGCTCCCGCGAGCTTCCGCCGCCCTCCCGCCGCCTTCCGCCGAGGAAGAGATGCCAACTCCTCCCGCCCACAGGCCCTGAGGTCCGACGTTGAGAAAAATATGCGACATCGGACAACAATCACGACTGGAGCCCTGTGCCCCATCTTTCTGCGTCATTTTCGAGCCAGATCGATCTATGATCAGGTCGGGCATATCCTCCTACATGCGGATTCTGGAAGAACGAACACTGGTCAAACAACCATCAAAATATTCAAAAGAGCAGGACAAATCGTCACCATACTATTTCTCACTATTCTTGAACATTCATCCCCCCCGTAGAAAGACATACCCGTCGCAAATCTATGAGAGCCCCGGGGCCCGAACCCGAGCGGAAAAGCCCGGCTCGAACTGCATGGCAGCGCCAGGACCTCAGGGAAGGCGAGGCCCTCTCTGGCACGCCGCGCGTACGAGGGCTCCGCCAAAGGCCCCGCTGGCGCCCGCCGCGCGCCCGCAGATCAGATATCAAAGGACCTCTGACCCTTTGGGAGAGGACCTAAGCTGGGAGGGTCAGGAGCATTAGGGATAAGGGGTCTTTCCTTAGGTATCAGACCAAACCACCCAGAACTATTATGTATCCCTGATTTTGGTGGACCCAAAAGGGGGTCCAGCTGAAAGGAGGTGGTGCGATAGGTTTGGGGCAATTGTATTGCAAATGTATGGCGCAGTAGAATTGTATCGTACTGTGTTCCAACTGATGTATTGCACGCGAGAATCCAACAATACATTTGCTTCCCAGAACGTACTACACGCCCCAAGACTATTGCAACCCACAAGCACCAGATCCACTGCACCACCCCCTTGTAGCTGGACCCCCTTTCGGGCCAACCAGACTGATGCGGAGACGGGGACCTCAGCGAGGCCACGCCCTCGTCGTGTCCTTAGGGTCAGGGGCTCTTTTCTGCTCGACGGCCCGCCCCCGGCGCCTGCTCCTCAGCGCAACTGCCACGCCCGCCGCAGCCCCCGCCGCCGCGGACACGGCACAGCGGGCGGCCGCCTCGCCGGGGCCTCGGGGCTCCAGCACGCTGGCCTTAAGTCGGGCCTGTCCCCCTACGGGGGGATTCTCGACGAAAAATAAAAAATACCCCCAAAATAATAATAATAATACTAATAATAATAATAATAATAATAATAATAATAACAATAATAATATTAATAATACAAATACTCATAATAATAATAATAAGAATAATAATAGAATGATTCAAAAATAATCAGGAGACTATTTTCTGAATATCTTCTGACCTTTTTGGGGCATTTGTGGGGTATTTTTTTGGTTTCGTCGAAAATCTCCCTGTAGGGGGACACGCCCGACTTAACGCTGGCCAGAGCGGGAAGCTCGGAGGGCGGAGGAGGACAGGGACAGGGAGTCTGCGTTCCGGCGCCAGTAACTGGAGCGGTCCCTGAGGGGCAGACGTGCATATGGCACAGTGCATCTGGTGAAACGCGTGCATGGAAGGCCGCTCAAGCATCCAACGAGTCGCTCCAGCTCAAACGAGGTCGCCCTATAGGTCGTTTGGCTTCTGTCCGGAACCACGGCGGAGGGGGCAGGGGAGGGGGGGGGGCGGAAGCCAGGCTCCCGGAGTTCCAGCGATATGGCACATGGCTTGTTCGCTCCCCACGTCTTTCGTGGGCCCCGGGCCTCCCGCGTCCGTCATCGGCCTGGGGGGGCCCTCAGGAATGGACCTGGGGCGGAAAGCTACCCCTGGGGAAGAGGTCGGGACCTCTGGGGCGGCATATTGAGCAAAATCATATCGGAGGATGTACGGGAGGTTCGCCGCGGCGGCCGCGGCACAACGCGAGGCCGCGAGGCTGCCTCACCAAGACCTTGGGGTGTCGTCGCGGGCCGTTGTGGAAGCTCTGAAGGGGAGGGCCTCCTGAGGGGGAGGTCGCCACGAAGAGAAGGGGGTCATGAACAGAGGAGCAGGTCCTGAACCTCCTGTCCACGTTTCAAAGTCTGGGGGCCCTGCCCAGGCCCCGAGACCCTTCAACAATTGCTTGGGACGCAGAACCAGCCGCTAGCCCCAGGGAACGTCTGGGGGTCCAGGGCACTCTTCACGCATGCCAAAGGCACGGGAAGCCCAGGTGTCGAGAGCCCGTTTTTCCTCTCGACTCAGTTCTCTCATGCGAAGGAGGGGAGGTAACGGGGGATATGGGGAGCAGTAGGGGGCAGTGGGAGGCAATGAAAGGGTAAGGGATGCGCAAGGAAGAACACCATAACACAGTGAGCGAACCAACTGGGTGGGTGTGGGCTATCAGGCCTCTATCAGGTATGAACGGGCCATTGGGGACCGATGCGTCCCCCCTGAGTCCGCCCCCCGAGCTGTTGCCCCTGAGAAAGGCTCAAAGAAATTCTTGAGAGGGAGCCCAGCGGGCTACGGAAAGGCTTCCAGTAACCATCGACATGCCCCCCACTGCCACTCAGGGAAGAGAGCGGCCACGAGGTGCGGTCCACAAGCTTTGGGGATCAAACTTACACATCTGATGGCGCTCTCTTGAGTGGGTACAAGCGGCGAGCTCGGGGGGAAGGCAGAGGCGGGCCGGCACCAACGGCTGGAAGCTTCTCGCCAACCCCGAGTGGTAGTGTGAACATACCAAGTACAACTATGGCCAGAACGGGTCCACCGAGCCCGCTATTGCCAAACTGATCCGGCATCTGTTGTCGACCAAGACTCCAACACATGCTTTCCGATCCGGAGGTGCCCGGCGGCGGGTGAATCTTTCACTGCGTCTTGCTACTAAGGCGTCCACGGGCCGAGGCCATTCAGCAGCCAACATGCTAGAGCGCCCGGGAGCGCGCCTGCTGGCTCATGGCGATCGCAAAATGGCTGCGGCGATCTCAGTGCGTCCGTGTGAACTGGACTGTGCTCCCTCCCGACGCGCGCTGCGAACGATTTCTCTGCTGTCGCTCAGACCATGGTGTCCCGTCGCTCAGACCATGGTATCCCGTTGCAGGCAAAGCAATTCCGTAGTATCAGGCGGGATCAGCACCATGGTGGTTGCACTGGGGTGCGATTCAGCGCGTCGCGCCCCGAGCCCTCTCAACACAACTCCTGAACTACTAAGGTCGATCAGCTCACGAACTACGCCCAGGTGCTGAAGAATCCATCTTTTACCTGCCTTCCCTTGCACCCCATGCAATAAGCAAGGGTCCGACGCAGACGTCTCTTGACGATCCGCGAGAAAACGCCAAGATAATCCAAGGAACATCTGTTGTTCTGGGGGGGAGTGTTCATTCTCGGCACGGGCGGTGCTGAAACAAACCAATGGGGGAAATACGTAACAAAGGGCGAATGGTGTTGGAGAAGAGGAAGGGCAACCGACCAGGCCAGCGCGGACAGGAGCGCGTCATGCCGCACCCTGCTGGTGATACCTTGAAGCTCTGAGCTCGCGGGCGCCTCTTTATCGGCACACGCCGTAGAACTGCACAGATGCTTTAGCTCCGAACAAACGCAACTTTCAAGCTTAGGCCAGGCCGCTGCGACACAGGTGAATTCCTGGTGGCGGGAAAGAAGGAAATAAGCAACGTCAAACCGAACACGTGTCCCACTTCCTCCCAAGCGTTCTGCCGTGTCTCATGGGCTGGCCTGGAGCGCATCCGTCAGGCAGCTGCCTGAATAGCACAGAACTCATTTCGAACACGCTCAAGTAACATTTTTTTTACACGCTCAAGCAACATTGACCACCTAAGGCTACCAGACAGCAGGGTCCAGAGACCTGCTCCGCGCATCGCGCAGGTCCCATGTGGATCCCAACGAGAGTCACCACCAACTCTTCAGAATCGCCCACGGGCGCTCAGATGCCCTCTCGGGTCAACACCCCCGTCAAGGCCTTCGAGAAACCTGGCAACTTATGTCGCTCAAAAAGCCGGGCTTCGCGCACTCCACGATGCCTCGCCGGCACCGCTCGAGAGAGGGCCTTCAGAGGCGCTGCTGGGACTGGAAGGCCTCCGCGGCACCCTCCAACCTAACTCTCCCTGCAGCCCCGACAAATGGGAAACGGCAAGGGCGTAGGATACCTCAATTGTGGATGCAGCAAGACCCTCCCGCAGGACCCATGTGTGACCCGTCCCAAAAGCGAAGTTCACTGCTAAAGAAGTCCAGCAAGGAGGTTGGCAACGTTCTGCAGGCGTGTGTTGCGCCTGCCGTTGGGGATCTCACGCGTGATTCCTCGACTCCTTTAGGCACTGGTGTGGGAGGTGTCCGCACCTCCCCCGCCCCCTTGGAAACCCCTGCGGACATCCAATGGCCAACTCAACGGACCATACCAGGACGGCGCCGCGAGGCGCAATCGATTACATGATGCTACATGGCACCAGCTCGTGGCAACCCAACGAGATATCATTACACGACACGCACCACGACGGAAGCGCACGGGGCGACCCACCGGACAGCCCGCTGGACGAGGAGCAGGAGAGGGAAGCAGCACGACGTTTTGCCCGCGGGCGCCCGAGCGGGGGGAACCACAACGCACATGGCTTCGCACGCACGTCGCGCACAGCGTCCGGATAGGTCCTTGGTCTGTAGGCCCAGCGCGGACGGTATGGGATCTCACCTCGCGACCAACTTCCTGGCCTGACTGCCACAGAGAAGCTGCGTCGTCACTAATTCTGCACAAGAATTCACTCCTCCGAGAGACCCTGAACAGCATTCGAAACATGTTCCGCCGTACGTTGCGCCAATCACCCCTTGAACAACCAGATCGTCGACTGCCCCAGTGGGGCGCCTTAAATTGCACCAGGCATCCGGCAGAAAACTGACTCGTCGAGTGCCTGGACGGATGCGCCCGCGCCACAGGTTGCGCCAGACACTCCGCGGGCAACCTAGTCGCCCGATGCTTTTACAGGTGTGCCATAGATTGCGCTAGTCACCCTGTGGGCAACCAAATTGTCCGATGCGTTCTAGGTGTGCTACAAATTGCGCCAGAAGCCTGCAGGGCACCAGATTATCCGCTGCTCTCTTCGGTGTTCCGAATGAGCCTGCCTTAGGTTGCGCAATGTGTTGCGCCACCCTGTGGGTATGCTGTAGGTTAGGCCTTAGGTTAGCCCAGACACGTCGCGGGCAACCGAATCATCCGTTACCTGGTTCGGTGCCATTGGGTCTGCCGGAAGTTACGCCAACCAGTGGGTCTGCCATGGCCAGGCACCCAACGGGCAACCCAAACTGTCTGTTCCCATACTCGGTGTGCCCAGTGGGTCCGCCACAAGTTGCGCGATAGGTTGCGCCACCCAATGGGCCTGCCATGTATTGCGCCGTAAATTGCGCCGGTCCTCCCGATGGCAACCAAAGCGTTCAGTTCCGTACTCGGCGTCCCCAATGGCAGGTTGGCAGGTTGCACCATCGGTTGCGCCACCCAGTGGGTCTAGCACTGGTTGCGCAAAACATAATGCTGGCAACCAAATCGCCCATTTTGTATTGTGCGCCTACTACGAACAAGATTTGCTGTTCAGGGGCAACGTGTCAGGACGCCAGGCCATCGCCCTGATTTCAGGGCGCGGCCGGGAAATCCTGGCCTACAATAAACACCAGTGCGCCTTGGAACGATGCACAGGATGTCGCTGAAGAGGCCGCAATGCTCTGCGACAGTTGCAAGACTGGCTCCTGCTGACGACATGTGGCGATTGGTGCCCATCACCCCACAACCTCATCCCTCCTTCTGGCCAGACCTACGCGTGCACGAGAAGTGCAACCAGGGATGGCAACCCCAAGAAAGAAACATACTACGCTGCCTCAAGGAAGGCTGAGGACCCCAGCCACACGCTAGGTCTCGAATGGCGCGGGGATGCCTGTAAAAGGGATCAAAGTATCAGAGCCTTTCCTTGCCAACCATAGCTGTCTGTTCGGCATGCTCTCAGAAGCGAGAACATCAACTCGATATTCCAAACATCCCCTCGGTGTCTGAAACTCCGACCTTGGTCTGGGCCCATGGGCGGCTGAGCCGATCACCTCCGCTTTCTCTGGGCCTGGCCTTGGCCTTCCCCAGTGCGTCTCCCTCTCTGCCGTACCTACGCTAATTTCAACCCAGGTGCTTTCACCTCGTCGATATCAACCTCTCTGCACGGCTGCGCCAGCAATTCGTACTTTGTGTGGTTGTTCTGCACCCTCGTAACTTTGTGTGGTCTGTAGGCCCAGCGCGGACGGTATGGGATCTCACCTCGCGACGAACTTCACGGCCTGACTGCCACATTGAAGCAGCGTCGTCACTAATTCTGCACAAGAATTCACTCCTCCGAGAGACCCTGAACAGCATTCGAAACATGTTCCGGCGTACGTTGCGCCAATCACCCCTTGAACAACCAGATCGTCGACTGCCCCAGTGGGGCGCCTTAAATTGCACCAGACATCCGGCAGAAAACTGACTCGTCGAGTGCCTGGACGGAGGCGCCCGCGCCACAGGTTGCGCCAGACACTCCGCGGGCAACCTAGTCGCCCGATGCTTTTACAGGTGTGCCATAGATTGCGCTAGTCACCCTGTGGGCAACCAAATTGTCCGATGCGTTCTAGGTGTGCTACAAATTGCGCCAGAAGCCTGCAGGGCACCAGATTATCCGCTGCTCTCTTCGGTGTTCCGAATGAGCCTGCCTTAGGTTGCGCAATGTGTTGCGCCACCCTGTGGGTATGCTGTAGGTTAGGCCTTAGGTTAGCCCAGACACGTCGCGGGCAACCGAATCATCCGTTACCTGGTTCGGTGCCATTGGGTCTGCCGGAAGTTGCGACAACCAGTGGGTCTGCCATGGCCAGGCACCCAACGGGCAACCCAAACTGTCTGTTCCCATACTCGGTGTGCCCAGTGGGTCCGCCACAAGTTGCGCGATAGGTTGCGCCACCCAATGCGCCGTAAGTTGCGCTGGTCCCCTGATAACAACCACAGCGTTTATTTCCGTTTTCGGCGTGCCCAATGGCAGGTTGCACAATAGGCTGCGCCACCCAGTGGGCCTAGCACTGCCTGCGAAAAGCACTCTGCGGGCAACCAAATCGCCCGTTTTCCATCGTGCGCCTTCTACAATCATAGAGAAATATTGCACCATATGCTGTTCAGGGGCAGTGCGTCAGGACGCCATGCCATCGCCCTAATTTCAGGGCGCGGCCGGGATATCCTGTCCTACACTAAACACCAGTGCGCCTTGGAACGTCGCACAGGATGTCGCTGAAGAGGCCGACATGCTCTGCGACAGTTGCAGTACTGGCTCGTGCTGACGACGAGTGGCGATTGGTGCCCACAGCCTCATCCCTCCTTCTGGCCAGACTTGCGCGTGCACAAGAAGTGCAACAAGGGATGGCAACACCAAGAGAGAAGCAGTACTGCCCTACCTCAAGGAAGCCCGCGTCCAAGAGTGGGGGTAAAACCAAGGTTCCCAAGCAAGCGCCGAGGACCCCACCCGCAAGTTAGGTCTCGAATGGCGCGGGGACGCAACTAGAAGTGATGATACTTTCCTTGCCAACCATAGCTGTCTGTTCGGCATGCTCTCAGAAGCGAGAACATCAACTCGATATTCCAAACATCCCCTCGGTGTCTGAAACTCCGACCTTGGTCTGGGCCCATGGGCGGCTGAGCCGATCACCTCCGCTTTCTCTGGGCCTGGCCTTGGCCTTCCCCAGTGCGTCTCCCTCTCTGCCGTACCTACGCTTATTTCAACCCAGGTGCTTTCACCTCGTCGATATCAACCTCTCTGCACGGCTGCGCCAGCAATTCGTACTTTGTGTGGTTGTTCTGCACCCTTGTAAAACGGTACCAATCATTGATCAGATCGCAGGGTGATCTCCCCAACGCTTGCCATACCTGCAGTTCTCGACTCGGGATGGCCTCCAACATCCTCCGCCAGCTCCTCCTCCTCCTCCTCCTCCTCCTCCTGCTCCGCCCTCTTCCGCGCCCTCATCCCTTCTCCTTCTAAATAATACCTCCCTGTCGCGCCCCGAGGCCTGTCGGGAAGGGCGGTCTGCGCGTTTCGCCTGAGACTGCCTTGCTACGTACGAGTCTGAAGCGTAAAAGCTGGCAGCCGTCTCTCAGATGGAGGGCGTGCCGTTTCCAAAAGATGGCTCCCGCTGAAGCGCCACGCGCATTCTTCCTCACAAATTGCAGGACGTTCACGAATTGGCGGCGGGCCACCTCCAAAATGTGGCTCTCGCCTCAGCGCCGCGCACGGTCGTCCTAAACATCCACCAGGAGCTTCAAGGGATGAGGGCGGCTCACTTTCAAAAGGTGGCTCTCGCCGTGGCGCCGCGCACACTCGTTTCAACAAATTGCAAGAGTATCAAAGTTTCCCATGGCTAACGTACTAGAAATGGCATTCTGGCACGGTTCAAAATCTCCAATACGCAACACTCAAGATGATTCGTGGCGCTGGAGTTCTGGGAATTGTCTTTGGTACGCTTCAGGATATTTTAACGTTTGTCTCCCAACGGGGCAATTCCCCCAAAGGAAATGAACTGTTGTAGGTGCCTGTGAAGCGGGAGCTTGGGGGGACGGTTTATTCCAACATCGCTGATTTGTCTTGGGTTTACACTAGTCCTCCTCCTCGTTCTCCTTCTATCCCACTCGCGTCGCAAAATGGCACATTTAATCCTAGTCCATTCCATTCCATTCCATTTCTCCTCCTTCTCCTGCGGTGGAGAATAACTTCAGGACGCCGGCCCCTGCACAGACACCTCATGGTGTTGTCATCTCTTGAGGGGCCGTTCCTGCTTCCGCCAGTTTCCGCCGGCGGGGGCGCCGCCGATTTACCTTCCGCCGCCTTCCGCCGACCTTCCGCGCCTTCCAACGAGAAAGAGATGGCAACTCCTTCGGTCCTGGAAAAAGTCCTTTCTGTAATGCCTCAAACGAACAATGAAGATCAAGCAGCAGTAGGATGAGGAGAAGATGCCCAGCAGGGCTGCGAAAGACCATAGACAAGCGACGGCCGCTGGACCCCTGCAGCCATGGGCCTGGTCCCCCAGCCAGATCGGATAGGCCCCCTGATCCCCTTTCCTCGTCCTCCTCCCCTCCCTCATCCTCCTCTCCCGCTCCCCCTTATCATATGTCCCCTCCTTCCCCCTCCCTCTTCCTGGGAATCAAGGAAAACGCCCTCCCTGGCGGAGGCCGTGTCAATGCACTGCCGGACCATCCGGCCCCAGCCAGGGCTCCACCCACGTGCGAGGAGGCGAGCCCCTGCACCGTGAGCTTGGACCCACCCCTCAAAAACCGCGGCTGTCGTGCCCGCTCACGGGCCCGTGCCGTCGCGAGTCGCCTCCCTGTCGACCCTTCTTGCAGCTTCGGCCCTGGAAGCCCCAAACAAAATGCAGATCCGTGAGATCTGCCGTGCCCGGTCCCCTCCCTGCCGAGTGGCACCGTGTGCCGAATGTCGGATACAAATCGGGAAATCAAGTTGCCGTGGTGTGTGTGTGTGTGTGTGTGTGTGCGTGCGTGCGTGCGTGCGTGCGTGCGTGCGTGCGTGTGTGTGTGTGTGTGTGTGTGTGTGTGTGTGTGTGTCTGTGTGTTTCTGTCTGTCTGTCTGTGTGTCTGGCTGTCTGTCTGTCTGTCCGTCTGTCCGTATGTCTGTCCGCATGTCTGTCTGTCTGTTTGTCTGTCTGTCTGCCTGGCTGTCCGTCTGTCTGTCTTTCTGTCTGTCTGTCTGTCTGTCTCTCTGTCTCTCTGTCTCTGCGTGGGACAAGAAGCATAAACAATCACAAGCCCTCTCGGCTTGTGAGTAATCACAGAAAGCCCAATATGGCCTACAAGAAAACGCAGAATGCTTCTAATTGGCTCGAGCAAAGCCCCTAAGAACCCCCATGAACGCCCCAAGATGGCTCCCATGTTGCCACAGAGGCCCCTGAGGCACCGCCCTTGAGGAATTGGTCAAGGAAAGATCTTGCTGTGGTCAGTTATTGTTTCCTTCTTGCCTTTTTGATGTCTGATTGGCCCGAGAGGCCCCAAAGACGAAAGTCTCCAAATGAGGCTCCACGAATGTTCCAAGAGGGCGTCGAGGGAACTGACAGGGTCCAAGAAAGCAACGTTGGGTGCACATGGAAATACGCTACGCATCTTAGGTGGATTTTCCGAATGGGCCTCTGAATCTTCTTTAGCTAAACAACTTACCGAAGGAGAAACATACGATCAATGGACATGAGGTCAGACAACACGCGTTCAGCTTACAGCTGAACTGATGCACGCTGAGCTAGTCTAGAGGCCTCCTAGATGGGGTCCGAGTAGATGGGGACGGAGGACTGTATTATATCGGCGATGCATCAGCGACGTCGGCGATGTATTCGCGACGCCGTTGTGGAGAAACTCGGACTCCACATCGATCCACATCGCCGATGCATCGCCGATGCGGCGCGATCCTCGGACACCATCTACTCGGACCCCAGCTAGGAGGCCTGGATAATCTTAGCCAAACAACGGCTTCTGTAGTTCAACATCCGGATCACAAGGCACCTCCGCGCGCATCCGCGCCATCAAAGCCCGGGTGCTCATCCTGGGGCCGCGCGCCCTGGATCCCGCCAGGCCGTGCTCATCCGGGGTCTGCGCCCCCGGGCCGTACGCACCTGGGGCCATTCCCCCCCGGGCCGCTCCCTGTCCGCCCTGCCTGGCCCGGAAAAGCGCGCCCCCGAAGCCTGGCAAGCTCGGGAAGGGCGCTTGGAACGGAGCTCGCAAGGAGGCTCAGGACGCTTGCAAGGAGGAGCGCTCGCAAGGAGGCCCAGGAAGCGTGCCCCCGAAGCCTGCAAGCCTGGGAGGAACGCTCGCAGGGAGGCCCAGAAAGCTTGCGGGGAGACCCAGGGAGCTGGCGAGGGAGGCTCGAGAGCGCGGCCGGAGTGCGCACCGCGAGCTCGCAGAGGCTGCCTGTTCGCCGCTGCCCCCGCGACGCCAAGGGAAGCGCGGCCCAGGACCTGCCGAGGACCTGCGCACGAGCCTGGGAAGCGCTCCGAAGGAGCTCCGCAGGAGGCCTGCGGCGCACGTGCATTGGGAACGAAGTGCAGGAAGGCGCTGCCCGGACAACCTGCGAGGCCCCGCGGGGCGCTGCGAAGACGCCTGCCCAGCAGCCGCGGCGAGGAGCAGGCCCTGCTCGGGCGCGGCTCGACCGACCCCTCGCAAACCGTCCCCTTCCGTGACGCCATCCTCGCCTCTCGAGCTCCCCTCCAGCCGTATATACACGGCTTGGGGGCGAGGCGAGGGGTACGTCACATAAGGGGATGGTTTGCTAGGGGTCTGTTAGGCCGCCCCTGACCTGCCCAGCCTGCCGGCGTCGTCTGCTCTAAAACCCGACACAGCTCTCCAGGAGCTGTCCAAGAATAGACTGGGAACGTCATGCTGATGGCAACGTTGCCACGCTTCCTTGACCACCTGCTTGAGCTGATCCGTGCTTGTGTTTGAACGGCACCCCTGCCGTGTTCCACTTCAGCTCCTCCGCTTCACTTGAGCGGTCAACTCGCCAAGGCATTATCATACACAAATCGTCATCGATCGCGCTCCCCCAAACAAAAAGAAACGCTTAACCATGGTATTGCACCGCTCATGGTCGCAGCCAACCGTGTCGGGGCCGCGTCACCGAAGTAGTATGCATTTCCAGGCGCAGCATGATATGCTTTGCCTAACGTGTTTCAGACCCTGTTGTGCACAAAAGCTGATTGAGATTGGCATCTTTAGCCAGGCTCCTTGAGGACGTCCAGACACTCCCATTCCCAGACCCATAGCCCCCCCCCAAAAAAAAATCACGGAGACACCTCTTCCGTTCTCCAGAAACGCAGTGCAATGCACACACACATCGAACAATCCAAAGACATGGAATGCAGAACAGAGCAGATCACAGCAATGCTTTCAACACCCCAAGGCACAACGCGCACCAGCGCATTACAACGCAGGGCGTCACAAAGCCCAACAACGAAAATCACAGTTCACAATGCGATGCAGTGATTTTCAGCGTGCAGCAGTGTATCACAATGTCCAGCGATTCAGAGAGCATACTCGAACTTCAATGCGCACGATCGTCTTCACACGTGCCAATTCTTATGATTATATTCGCTATAGTTGATCACGTTTTGAATTTCAGCTTGTGTCTATTGTTCCATAAAGCATGTCGGATCTCGCCTGCACATGGAACATCTCAGAATACCACAACTTAGTTCGCACACGTGTAGTGCAACATCCAGATCGTGATGTACTTACATATGTCAACAACTGAACGTTGCAAATTAAAGCAAGGGGGACATTTCAGCACGAGCTCCAGTATGATTAGTGACAAGCAAGTCGCAGCAGTAGAGAAAACACACGCTGAAGACCTAGGTGACACGCGTGTGAAACTGCACGATGAAAAATGCACCATCGCACTGGAAGGGGAAACGATACCTTCTGGTGTTGAAACCCTCGTTGCGCAATAGTCGATTGCCGCTCTGTATGGCAGACACGTGGTCCAAGACGCCGATATGCAAAGCTCATGTCGTTCCTTGCCCTTGATGCGCAGACAACTGCAATGCTGCATGCATTTGCGTGATATGTGTTTGCTTCGCGGGAGCACAAAAATACTCTGCGCGCTCCTCGGAGCAACAAGGTCCACAAGGGCAGAAGACCCGACCATCCCCGCTCCTCCCGGCGCGTACACGAGAAGCAGACTGCTGCCGCGAAGATCACAAGGAAAGCGACGATGATGCCTCGGGCCAAGGTGCCAGCTACATGGTCCAATCAACATTCCACATCCTACAAGCTGCCACCTTGTAGCTGCTCGACGCGATGATCGGATTCGCTTAATTTGCTCGAGCGTGTCGTGACCCATAGACTTTGATGTCAATCCTGTGCGCGCTGGTCATTCCTTGGCAGTTCCGTGCTATCGCATCCTACCAACTCGAACAAAACGATTGAGCGAATCTCCACTGCGTAGGAATGCAGAACTTGTAACACTGCGAACGGACAACATGGTATATCTCAATTTATATGGATGAATGTAATGTATGTGTAGGTTCGCTCCCCGTCTCTCCTTATCGCTGCCATGATGTGCAGGTCTGTGCTTACACATATAGAGAAAGAGAGATATACACACATATATATATATATATGTATATATATACAGGCGTATATACATATATGCATGTAGACAACCTATTCAAATCAACAGGCACATGCTTTTGGGTTTGAAGTGTGGGGCGGTCCCCTAGGCGCCAAGGCGGCCCCACAGCGGCCCCAACAGGGCCCCCAAAACGGCCAAAGACGGCCCCCCAAATCATCCAAGCGGCCTCACGACGGCCCCAGGGGCCCCCCAAATCGATTTTAGCGCCCCAAGAGGCCCCTCCCCAAACGGCCAAATCATCCTCGGTGCCCGAATAGCCTCCAAAACGCCTCCAGAGAGCTCCAGTGCAACCCCCAAGAACGTTCCATCAAGTGAAAATCCTCACGCTCGCTTCGGGACGATGGCATGTTCAGCAGGTTTTCATTTGCTCATCGAAGCGTCCAAGACGGCCCCGGAGGCTTCCAAGATCGCCTTAAGATGGTTCCAGACGGCTCCAGAACGGCCCAAGATGCGCCCAAAACGGTCCAAGAGGACCCTGAGAGGGGCCCATGAAGAACCCACGACAACCCAAGATGGCCCCGAAGCGGTCCAAGAGGCGCTCAAAATGGACCAAAACGGCCCCAAGACGGTCCCAGAGGCGCCCTACACAGCCCAGGAGGACCCCGAAAGGCGCCCAAGAGGCCCAAAAGAACACCACGGGGACTCCCAAACGGCCCCCCCTGGAGGCTTCGAAACGGCCTCCAAGAGAGGGGGGCGAACGAGAGGCGACAGGCCCCTCGCTGTCGCAGACGCGGAGTTTTTGACGCTCTGGTGGCCCTGGATGCATGTCTTCTGGTCGACGACGACACGACGACGACGCCGAACGCCGAACGCCGACGCCGCTGAAGCCGACGCCGACGCCGACGTTGACGGCGACGGCGACGGCGACGCCGACGGCGACGGCGACGGCGACGGCGACGGCGACGGCGACGGCGACGGCGACGGCGACGGCGACGGCGACGGCGACGGCGACGCCGACGACGACGACGACGACCACGACGACGCGCGCCGCCCCATCGCCGCCGCCGCCGCGCGAAGCCGTCGCCGCCCCCTGCCGCCGACCGCGTGCACCTCCCCGCCTTCTCTTGTCGAGGGAATGCCGCGCCTGCCGCGCTGTGATCGCTTGGCGCGACAGCAGCCGCGCCTCCCGCGCGGCACGCCTGCTCCCCGCTGCGCCGCTGCCGCCGCGGAGATGCCTTGATTGTTGCGGTCCGTTCGCACAAACGGCTGGCCGACCCGTTGCCGGTCGCGGCATAGCGCGCGAGCCGCGAACGCGCCTTCCCGCCCTCCCAGCGATGTCCAGCGCCTCCAGCACCCCATGCCTTCCCGAGCGGGTTCGGCAGAGCGCCGAGGGCCCCAAAACGGCGCGGTGAGAGCGCCTCGCGGGCCATCTGGCGCGCGCTCGACGATTCCGTTGTCGCACTGGCTCGACTCCTGGTTGCCCGCGGCGCAGGGCTGATGCGCTCGCTCTGGGCGGAGCCTCGCGCGCACGCGCGTTCGCGCGTTACCCTGGCGCCCCCCCATGGGATGCGTCGGGGCCTGCCCCCAGGCCGTGCGCTTCTGCTTGGGCGCCCCGCCGCCCCCTTCCCGCCCCTTCCCGCTGCGCCCCGAAGGCGCGAGGCTCTGGAGCCCCGACAAGAATTCCAAGACAGCAATGTTTGATGGGCCTGTTTTCCACCACCACCACCATAAGTTGGAGGGGGAGGGGATCCTCCTCCTCCTCCGCCTCCTCCTCCTCCTCCTCCTCCTCCACCTCGCCCTCCACCTCGTCCTCCACCTCCTTCCCCCCTCCAACTTAAATGGAAAACATGCCCATCAGTGTTTGTGTCGCCGCACGGCGCGCTCTATTTTCGACGACATCTCGCGCGCCGGTGGGCGACCGCCAATCCCGAACGGAGCGGCGTCTCTTCTCTGAATTTTCGCGGTCGTTTCTGCCGCGACCCCCGCCCCGGGCAAGGTCTGGGGCTCGCCGAGGAACGGGCGCGTGGAATTGCCGAGATCTGCCTTGTCGCTCCGCAGCATCGGCGGCGAGTTAGAGGTGACGTGCTGTAAAATATGCAGGGACATCTTGGTTCGGAGCGTCGCGTTTTGGACACCCAAGGCCGTCGCCTTGGCACGATCCTTACTTTGCCGCGACGCCGCTCCGACGCCTCCGAAGCGGCGGCGCGTCTGCCCCGACCCGCTCACGCGTCCGACGCGATCCTGGTGTGAACCTTCCAACGCTGCTCCGGCCTGGGCTCTTGAAGTTTGTACTTTCGCGATGCTCGGACACCTCGCCTTTAAAATCTTGATCGCATGGCGCCAGAGGCTCGCCGCGACCGGTACACGCCAATATCTCGATGCTTTTCGGCAATGGGGTCCTTGGGTCACGCGAGGCTGATATGACCCACGGGCTCTACTGGGTCAGAGGACTCAAAGGCCTCTCCGCCGCAATTGGGACTCGTAGGCTCGGAGCCTTAACTGGGAATAGGGGTAATTAAGCCCGCGCGGCTCATGGGGAGCACAAGGTTCGGAGGGCCCGCAGGCGTAATTGGGTGCATAGGGCTCCTTGGGCTGGTGAGCTCAGTTGAGTTCTTGGGCTCGTAGGGGTCTGGGCCACACAGAAGTCACGGGCTCTTGCGCCCCATAGAGCAAGCTGGGGCATCGGGCTCATGAGGTACATGGGGCTCATAAGGGTCATTGTGCCCACCGTGGCCCATGGGGCTCATAGAGCTCATATGGCCCATGGGGCTCATGCGGATCATAGGGCTGTGGAGGCTCCTTGTGGCCATGCGGCTCGTGGGGCACGTGCTCAACTCGCAGAGCTTATGAGGATCATACGCGACATAGGGCTTACAGGGCACACTGGGCTCGTAGGGCTCATAAGGCTCGTCGGGCTCGAATGGCTGAGAGGGCTCCTAATGTCACAGGATCACAAGGGACACAGGGCTCACATGGCCCATAGAGCCCATCGGGGTCATGCGGCTCGCACGGCCCATAGGGGTCATGGGGCTCATGAGGTTCCGAGGGGCCATGTGGCGTGTAGGGCTCGTAGGGGCCGTAGGGCCCATGGGTCTCACAGTGGCCATCAGGGCTCAGAGGGGCTATATGGCTCGCAGCACTGAGGACGTCGATGTGCTCGCAGAGCTCGACGGGCCCATCGAGCTCAGATGGTGCCGCGTCCACTGGACGTTTGGGAACAAGGTCGCTAGTGAGTTCCTAGGGAAGGTGTCTTGGGAGCCTCTTGGAGGGCACACAGGGCTCATGGGGCTTAGAGGGCTCGTAGGGGTGGTAGTGATCGGAGGGGTCGCAAGGCCCATGAGCTCATCAAGATCATGGGGCTCGCGGGGGATGAAACGCGTGAGGTCGTGAGGAGCACGGCGACGTAGGTCGCATTGGGCTCGTGAGCTTATGTGGTACACAAAGGTCGTAGAGATCATAGGGCAAACGGACCTGATGGGGTTCAGAAGGCTCGTAGCGCTGAAAAGGGTCGTAGGATTCGTAGGGCTCGTCAGGGTCGTCGGGCTCATAGGTGTCGTAGGGCTCAGGAGCTCTTGGGCTCAAGGGCTCGTAGGGCTGATGGGGCTCACAGGGGGGGAGCCTCGGGGGCCTCTTAGAGGGCGCATAGGGCACATTGGGCTCATGGGGCTCGTATGGCTCATATGGTTCGTAGGTGTCGTAGGGCTCAAGGGTCATCATAATCATTGGGATCGTAGGGGTTGTAAGGTTCACGGGGTCGAGAGCGATACAGGTTCACATGGAACAAACAACTCATATGGGTGATAGAGCTTGTGGGGCCTCCGGAAGGGGGCTCTTCAGAGCGTTTTGGGAGCTTTGAGGAAGTCATGGGGGTCTCTTGGGGGCTTCTTGGGGCCAGTGAGGGCGTCTTGGGGGCTCCGTGGCAGTGCCCAGGACCATATTTTGGGGGGAGGGGTCAACATGTCAATTTGGTTTGTCCTTCTTTGGGCCATGTTGAAGCGTCTTGGGGAGCCTTTTGGGCAGTCTGGGGACCTTCTCGGGCCGTCTTGGGACCTCTGGAGGAGCCACTTTCGTCCAGGGAACAGCGAGCACGTCGAAACTGTATGGACATCTATTAATTTATTTTGAACTCCAGAGCCCTCTTAAGGGACATCTTGGGGCTCTCGTGGGGCCGAGCATCCCAACCTGAACGCCAGACTCCTGACATCTCCACCCGAACTCATCCACTGGAGCCGAACAACCCAAACCCGAGCACCCTGACCCCGGATACCCGAGTCCTAACGCCCAAACCTGAACGCCAGAACTCCGACTCACTGATTCCCGAACGCCTTCATCCGGGCACCCGAGCAGTTTGCTTGAAGGCCTCTGGCAAGCCCTGTGGAGGCCGCGGAACTACACGTGCTTGGTCTCTCTGGGCCTTCGCGGGGATCCTTTTGGGCCCTGTGGAGCAGCTCTCCGGCCCTGACGGGCCGTCCTGGGGCCCTTCTGGGCCGTCTTGCCGGGCTTTGGCCGTTTTGGGGTTCTCTCGGAAGCACCCTGGGGGCCTTGTGGGGCCTTCGCCCGCGCCGGCAAGAGAACCATCAAGAGGCGATTCCTTGGGTTTCTAACTAATCTTGGAGTGCTCGCACTTTCGAGCCTGACGGCCCCAAGACGGCCCAAGAGGCCGCCAGCATTGTCCCAAGACGGCCTAAGAGGCCCCCAAGAGCACCCCCTCCAAAACGACCCAAAAGGGCCCCAAGACGGCCCACGATACCCCCAAGGCGGCCCACAAGGCTGCCAAATGAGCCTCGAGGTCCAAGAGGGGGAACTAGAACTGGCATTGGGAGCCTTTTCCCCCAAGGTGATCTTTCCCCGACATTGCCTTAAGACCCCCCCGAGAGGCATAGGTTTACCAGAGTACCCCCTAGAGGTGTCGAATATCTCTATATACCTGTACCTACCATATAGTATAAACCACCGCAAGCCTGAATGTGTATATATATATATATATATACGTATATGCATCTTCATATGTATGCCTGTGGTCGTATATCTGCCACCGTGGCTCGAAACACCCTGTGGAGAGTGCACAATGCACCCTCGGGCTCGCACACTGTCTCCCAGTGTGGAGAGCAGCCTGGACTCGGAGCTCGACCATGTCGGCCGAAGACTCTCCTGCAGCGGAGCTTGGGCTTACCCCTTGGGGAGTCGGGCTGTGAGGCTCCATAGCAACCAAATCGAAACATGCCGTCTCGCGCCGCGTGGGCCCGCGCCGTCAGTCGCAAGACCCGTGCTCACGATCACGGTCCCAATCTCTCACAGAGATGGCGGGACGGGACGGCGGTGGCTAGAGTATCTTCGAATGCATTCGGCGCAGAATCCCCCCCGTGCACAAACGCAGCAGAAGGGGATCCAAACGCAAGCGTTGCCGCCATGGGTGGGCTGGTCCGCAACTGGGCCGCCGCGTGAGGTGGCATCAACTTTCAGAAGTTCCTAGACGCCGTGCTGCAGAAGTTGAATTTCAAAAGACAGAATGAGATCATCTACAGACGGTGGAGAATCCGCCATCTATAACGAATTCTGATCCCCCGCAACACAAACACACCGAGCGTGGTGAGCAAATGAAGAGAGACTGACAACTTGAGTACGGGGAGAAAGGGCCACGGAGACTACCCAACACAAAGGTCCGTAGAGACGATGACGATCTGACATTCTCCTCCAAGGGAAGATCCTCACGCTGGTGTCAATCAATACCTGGACCGAGATGGCGACAGGTGCGGGAACGAGGAGAAAAGATAGGGTACCCATAAAACGCGGACGGTTGCATTACGAAGTTGGAAGAGGTCGACAGCTGTTTCGCACAGCGCTCTTATGGTCTGAAAACCAAGGGACACAGAGCAATCTGGCAAGCGCGTCGCAAACTGCCGCCACGCAAGTGCAGCAGCAAGGGGGTGGGGGATGCGACAAGACGGTGGGCGGCGTGGCGCCGTAGCCGATGGCGGCCATGTCGATGCTGGACACGGATTCCCAGAACGGACCGTGGAGGCCGACTGCGCGGCAGATGACCTGGGAGGGGCCCCCCCTTGCCGCCAGGAGAGGCTCCAGGGCCACTGCAATGCCCCTGCCTCGCATCAAGGTGGGGGGGGGGGGCAGACCCCGACCAGCGGAATGGACAAGCCTAAGGCCTACGGGTGCGCACGGACAACCCTTCCCGACCTCGGCAGCGCCCGCAGGGGCGGGAACGCCAACGCCGGGGGGCCCTGCGCCCCTCCGGGGCCCCAGGTCTGCCCGAGCTCGGCGAGCTCCCCGCGGAGCACCGGCCCCACCAGCCCAACCATGACAGCACAGAACTGGCTGCTTCTCGGTGGAGTTCACGCGGCCAACAAAAACCTCGCCACATCTTGGCGGCCCTCTTTTGCTTCCGCCGGCTTCCGCTGGTAGAGCCGCGCTCGCTTGCTTCCGCCGCCTGCCGCCGAAGAACAGATGCCATCCGCTTAGATCCTCGAAGGCGAGGCCCTTTCTGGAGCGCCTCACGTGTTCACGGGTCCCGGATCGTCCCGCCTGGGTGCCTTGGTCTTCGATGGGGCGAGGACACAGCCGACCTCCAGGGACAAGGGGTTCAGAGGAGCCCAGGGGAGAGGGAGTGCAGAAGAAAGGGCGATGAGTAAACATGCAACCACGATCTTTTTCGTCGCGTCTCGCGGCGGCGGATCTGGCGACACTCTCTGCCCTTCGGGAGCGGCCAAGAGGGGGGTGTCCAAGAGGGGGGGGTGCAAATCATGACCGGCGGCATGTGCGCGGCCCAGCGGGGGGGCCTGGGACGTAATGAAATAAGAAGAGGCGCCATGAAATCTGAGGAAAAATCGTGGCCCGCGCCATGAAATCTCCCCCCCCCCTAGTCATCACCCCCCTCTTTTCCGCTCCCGAGCCCCGCGCGCGGATACCGTGTCGCTCCGCTCCCTGGGGAGGGAGGCCGGGGTGGGTCCGGGACGCTGGCGCTCGGGGGCTGGCACGTGGCCGGCCGGTCTGGCGGCGCGCCACGCCAAGCCAGAGATCCCGAGAGGTGCGCGGGCAGGGAGAGGGTCTCTCAGACTGCGGCTGGGCATCGCTCGGACGTCCATTCCCTGTGCTTTTTGTCGGTTTCGTGCGTGGTTTTCTCGCCGAATGATCAAGGATGCTCCTCGATGGTCCTCGCCGAAGGAATAATGCACACGTCCGAGCGATGCCAAGGCGGGGAGAGGGCCGGTGGAAGAGCAGCGCGGCACGCTCTTTGCGGGCTCGCTGCTTCTCTCGGCTGGACCTGCTGGCTGTAGCGACAACCATCGGCTCGCTGGGCCTGGGCTCAGACCGGGAAGAGGATACAATCGAGCGAGGATAAATCGAGAATCTCTGAGATCCGGGGGCTCTGGAGGATGTCTCGGGCGCCGCGGCCTTCTCAGAGCGTTCCCGAACGCTCTGAGAGCGTTCCCGAGCGCTCTGGATGTACCCTCTTAGCCCCTTCCGACGAGAGCTCACTCTGCCTGCAAGAAGGATGGCTCTTGGATCTACTGAGGGAACATGCGCGCCTGGGAATCAGTCTTCTTCGGCGTCGGCGGGGTTCGGAGGGGCGAGGGCGGGGAGAGCGAGTGCCCAGGGCTCCCCCCGGGGTCCCCGGATCTGGCCTCACACAGGCGCGCTATCTCAAGAGACGCCGGCCCCAGCAGCGCAGGCGTGACGGAACCAGGCTGACATGTTCCTCGAGGGCCCATGCCTTCACGAGCGACGCACACATCCGAATCCGCGCCCTCGTGGTCTGCATTCGGGAGCGCGATCCCGCGAACACGCGGTCGCACGGATACGTTTCGCGCGGGGCGTCTGTGAAAGAACGCCCCGCATCCGCGGGGTCGCGGCCCAAGGGCCCAACCCGCGAGGCCGCGGATACGGTATGTATCTTCGCCTGTGGTGCCTTTTGAAATCAGAAAGAGAGGGGAGCGATGGTCCAGAGATGGATGCGCTTCTCCCCTCTCGGAACCTGTGGCTTGCTGGTCGCCCGCCCAGGGGTGAAACCTCCTCCTCCTCCTCCTCCTCCTCCTCCTCCCTCTCCACCTCCTCCTCCTCTTCCTCCCCTCCTCCGCCTCCTCCTCCTCGCCCCTCCCCCTCGCTCCTCAACTTCCTCCTCCTCCATCACTTCCTCCACCTCCTCCTCCTCCATCACTTTCTCCACCTCCTCCACCTTCTCCTCCTCCTCTTCCTCCTCCTCCTCCTCCTCCCCGTCATCGTTCTCAGCCTTGCGGTCATCGTTTTGCAATGTCTCCCGGGGATGGGCTAGCAAAACGCTCCTGAATCCCAGAGGCTCGTGGGGTCACAAGCGAAAGAAGAGGACGCCTTGTCCGGACACTTTTCGAACAGAGATGCCCCTCTCACACGGTGCCGCCGAAGCATTGAGGCCGCAGTGCGGCCCCGAATTGTAAACACGAGGAAGAGGATCCACCCCTGCTTTCTATCGTTCTGCAACGGACTGCTTGTCACACACGAAGGTCTCAACGAACTCGCGCAACTGAGCCGCTGCAGAACCTGGCTCCGATGGAGAAATCCAGGGCCCCAGGACCAAGCGAAACAATCGGAAACTTCCGAAACCTCGCAAGACTCGTCAGGGGATGGCTCTTGAAAGCACCGAGTTGGCGCAACGCGCAGCCTCATTTTTGCCATCCCAACTAAAACAATAAACCTCCATCCTTGTGGTTACGCGCGGTCCACGGAGTGTCTCCAGCACCGCTGTGCCGCTGACGACGTGCGGCAATACGATGGCGCGGTTGAAATTTCGCCCAATGTTGCAATTCCTGTGTTTTTGCGTCGCTGGCTCCGAAATTCTTCGGCACCAAATTGCAAATCAAATGTTCGAGAAAACCCTGCGCGACGCGCTCGCTCGCTTCCCCACTTTTCGAACAGGGTTCCAAAACCTGTGCGTGAGGAAATCCAGCACGAAACGTTTGTTCTTCTATTATTTGGAACTGTCTTCGAAAAGGGTCCCAGGAGTCTGTTTTAATCAGTCCCTTACGAAACGGTCACTTTTCTGTTATTCCGAACCGGATTCGAACCCGTTTCGAATCATCTAAACGAAGAGATCCCGTAAGAACCGAAGAAAAAAACGCTCACGTTTCGATTGTTTTGAACGGGGTTCTACTGCTCCGGTCCAAGTGTCGATTCTGGCTGGAACGTGTTTGAAAAGGGAGCTCCACGCATTCTTCCGATTTCGAACCTTGGTTTCGTTTGACCCTTACACAAATCGAATCGGAGGTTCGAGCCCCAAGCTGCCTGGCCCCCGTTGGCACACCTCCACCCCCGTCACGTTGTGCCGCGCTCCTCGCGCCAAACGGGGAAACTCCGATCCACGCACCGCCAGCCTGTCAAAAGTTTGGGCGATCTTCTATCACGGCGCAGTAGACAATGTGAGATCGTACGCTGGTCGCGCACTCGCCCATTCCATGCGGCGTCTGCTGGCCCGACCAGCTGCAAGAAGAGAGGGTCTGCCCACCCCGCCAGTTGGGGCGCATCGAGGCTGTCGCTCCAACCACCTGCCAGAAGCGCAGGGCCGCCCAAGCCTGCAGCAATCTCAAGCAGCATTCCCACAGTAACAGCTCGTTCGTTCGTGACGGATAACGATGATAAGTAAAGGATGACGCGGTGGAGGAGGAGGACAAGGAGGAAGATGAGCGTCAGGAGTCCGAGCAGGCCAGCACGCGGCCTGATGCTTGAAGCGGCCGAGATAGCAGGGTTAGTGATCGTAGCGGTAGTAGTAGTAGTAGTAGTAGTAGTAGTAGTAGTAGTAGTAGTAGTGATAATAGTAGTAGTAGAAGTAGTAGTAGCAGTAAGTCGTATCATTATTATTAGTAGTAGTCGTAGTAGTGGTAGTAGTAGAAATAATAATAGTAGTCGTAGTACCATTCTCAGTACTATTCGTAGTAGTAGTAGCAGCAGTAGCAGTAGTAGTAGTAGTAGTAGTAGTAGTAGTAGCCGTAGCAGTAGTAAAAGTAGTAGTAGTAGTAGTAGTAGTAGTAGTAGTAGTAGTAGTAGTAGTAGTAGTAGTGGTAGTAGTAGTAGTAGTAGTAGTAGTGGTAGTAGTAGTAATAGTAGAAGTAGTAGTAGCCGTAGAAGTAGTAGTAGTAGTAGTAGTAGTAGTAGTAGTAGTAGTAGTAGTTAGTAGTAGAGTAGTAGTAGTAGTAGTAGTAGTAGTAGAAGAAGTAGTCGTAGTCGTAGTCGTAGTCGTAGTAGTATTACTGATAATAATGGTAGTAGTAGTAGTCGTAGTAGTAGTAGTAGGCGTGGTAGTAGAAGTTAGTAGTAGTAGTAGTAGGTAGTAGTAGTAGTAGAAGTAGTAGTAATAGTAGTAGTAGTCGTCGTCGTGGTTAGTAGTAGTAGTAGTAGTAGTAGTAGTAGTAGTAGTAGTAGTAGTAGTAGTAGTAGTAGTAGTGAGTAGTAATGGTAGGAGAAGCAGTAGTAGTAGTAGCAGTCGTAGTAGAAGTCGTAGTCGTAGTAGTACTAGGTCGTAGTAGTAGTGGTAGTAGTAGTAATAGTAGTAGTAGTAGTAGTAGTAGTAGTAGTAGTAGTGGTAGTAGTAGTAGTAGTAGTAGTAGTAGTAGTAGTAGTAGTAGGAGTAGGTGGTAGTAGTATCAGTAGTAGTAGTAGTAGTAGTAGTAGTTAGTAGTAGTAGTAGTAGTAGTAGTAGTAGTAGTGGTGGTGGTGGTAGTAGTAGTAGTAGTAGTATAGTAGTTGGTAGTAGTAGTATTAGTAGTAGTAGTAGTAGTAGTAGTAGTAGTAGTAGTAGTAGTACGTACGTACGTACGTAGTAGTAGCAGTAGTCGTAGTAGTAGTAGCAGCAGTACTTGTTGTAGTGGTAGGAGTAGTAGTTGTTGTAGTAATGGTAGTGGTGGTAGTAGTAGTAGTAGTAGTAGTAGTAGTAGTGGTAGTAGCAATAGTGGTAGTAGTGGTAGTAGTAGTAATAGTAGTAATACTACTAGTAGTAGTAGTAGTAGTAGTAGTAGAAGTGGTAGTAGTAGTAGTAGTAGTAGTAGTAGTTGTAGTAGTAG